GTTGTTGTTGTGGTTGTGGTTGGTGTGGTTTTGGTGGTGGTGGTGGTGGTGGTGGTGGTTGTGGTGGTGGTTGTGATGGTGGTGGTGGTGGTGGTGGTGGTGGTGGTGGCGGTGGTAGTGGTGGTGGGTGGTGGTTGTGATGGTGGTGAGTGGTGGGTGGTGGGTGGTGGTGGTGATGGTGGGTGGTGGGTGGTCAGAAGGGAGGGGTGGGGTGGGTGTGGCTAGGTGGCTGGGTGGCTGGGTGGCTGGTGAGTGGGAGGTGGCTGGCTGGCTGGGTGACTGGGTGGTGGAGGGGGACGTTTGTTCAGGCCTGTTCTCCCGTGTTTCCCTAAACCCATCTTCCCTCTCGTGCCACACATGCACTCGCAGGGCGCGGACCGCTGGATGCGAGTGCGTACGTGAGACTCTCCGCGTCCGGTGTCACCCTCCTGCCTTGGGCCTTAGGTCGTGAAGTTTTGCGTGAGGCCTTACTTCTTGTGTTCTGTCCTCCCATGCGGGGTGTATACATGCTCGTGGAAACACGTTGCCCGAAAACTAGTGCGTCCGGAACCCAAATAACCTCCGGCATCTCAGTATCTCCACCTTGCTTCTGGCGTGTCTCCTCAATCGTAAACCGAAGCTCTTATGTCTGATGGCATGTCCTGTGTCAGCCCGTATCTCAGCATCACCGTACAGGGGTTGGGTATAATTTGTTTGATCCCTTTCATTTTTTGCTCCGTCTGCTCACCTCTCATGTCTCATGGTGCGAATTGGGCTTTGGTCGCGTATTGGACGTGTTTGCAGCCACGGCTCCTGATTCTTTCACCGCAGAGTTTCTGTGCACAGGCGTTGGGTCATGTTGGCCGCGTCATTGCGACGACTTTCGAGTCACTGGAAGTTCTGAGAGAGAGATATTCTGAAATAGACGAGACTATTGCTGTGCTGGAGAAGCATTTCGCCGAAGTTCACCATGACACTGAGCAGCAGAAAAGCACGGCATGTTAATCTTAAGCGGCTTTAGCTTTGCCGCATTGCCGCATTAGAACTTACAAGTTCCGGGGTCGTGTCGAATTGTGTTTGAGATATCGCCTCTAGGCCCCGGGTTCCAGACCCTTCTCAGAGAAAGCAGACTTGGACTATTGTGCCTGTAGGTTCGTTCTAGCCAGGCGGGAGGCCAAAATTGTGCTTGTAGTCTTTTGTCAGAGGCTGGTGGAGGTTATGATGCACTTCCGAACCCTTACCCATCAGATTCCCACGGCCTGGCAAAAAGTTGCTTCCGGGGCTGGGGCGTTTGCGACTGCCCTGCTCCCAACCAGAGTGAATTGGCAATTAAAGATTTCCTTTGAAGAGGTTAGCAATGAACGTGGACATGAAGAGCCTAAAGTTCAAGTGGCAGCAGAGCTTTGTTGCAAGCCCAACGGCTAAGAGTTTGGAATACCATGCATTCAGCCGCTGAGCACCCGATAGTTGAGAAGTCGTAGCCGTAGCATGAGCAGCATGTGAAACTCCAAGTCACGGCTTCACCCACGCTGTCCCAAACGCTACGAATATGACAGATGCCTACCAAGACCCTGAGCACACCGCAGACTATCATGTAGACCAACTCTCATTTAGGCACATTGGCAACCACGGACTGTACTGAGTTTCGCCGCTTCGAAACATGCTTGGCTAACCTGTAAGGAAGTGGACTGCACGCGGATTGCAGTCCATGCAGAGTTCAAAGACTTGGAACGTTCCCTGGGAGCTGTCTACTACAATTTTCCGCATGCAGGACTGTGTCGCGCACGGTGGAAAGTTGCATGCCTCACGTTGGCATGTCTCAAAGCCTCATAGCTGCATAATTATCATACCTGGCAGTTGGCGCTAGAAGCAGGAGCTGTTGGTGGCTTCTTTGATGGCCATCCACTGGTCAACTGGCGCCATGAGAACCTGATGCGCCTATTCTTCAGGGCGTTACGTGCCTATGTCAAGCCAGGTGGTGTAGTGAAGGCGCGCAGTTGCAAACACTACAATACTGCGGCAGGACGAAAGTTCGTCGTACTCTGGCATGTTGGTCTTGAACACCTTGCAAAACTTAGACTCCTCCACCAGTCCTATGCCCGAAACATTAAACTAGTATACAGTAGTCATGTATACCCGTGGATCAATTACTCCGCTAGCCAGGCCACGTAAGATTCACTTTTCGGCATGTCGTGTGATGCCACAGGCAAGTGCGACGAAACTTTAATCCTGGCGGTGCAAGCTGGGACGTATGCAAAACATCGTTGCGATTTGACTTTCGAGAGCATGCGTGTTTTCGCATCAATCGGGGCCGACTGGGTTGAGCAGTTGTCTAGCGAATTTCAAGAACACAGCGCCAAGGACTGCTTGAATCAAGCGCCTCCAGCTCCAAACATGTAAGTCAACAGTCGTAGGGTTCGCCTCCTCGCTTCACCCTGCAGCTCGCACGGAGAAGGCTGCCAAAAGATGTAAGTCCCAGTCCGGAATCAATTGAGTGGAGCGACCGTTATTGGATCACAGCCATCCCCACACACACAATCTAGGACCAGGTGCAATGTTAGAATGTAAAAACGATCCCAGTCGAACGGCGGAGCGAGACTTTGCCCGTGGTCTCTGAGATTATGGAAGCGAGCAACCTCTGGATTTAAGGCCTTGCAAGTTTTGAGGAGTCCAATGTGGATCAACAAAAAAGCAAGTGGTTCAATTCAACACGCCTGGCTTTTCCTGGATGCCTGGCGGCTTGACATGTGAAGTTTGGCCAGTCATGGGACATGATGTAACATTGCATGCTAGCCCCGTCGCTTCAAGCTGCAAGCCTGTCATTGCTATCGTCTGCCCGAGCCGCCGTGCAGGTCGCATCGAACCAGGGAGCGGTGGGCGTCCGGTATTCCTACATCATCTGTTCGGCCGCAGAGAATGAGTTTCGGCACGTAGAGACCGTACCATTTCTGCAGTGGAGTCTGCACCGCTACGGCCGGTCCTATGGAGATCGTCGTGATACTTACAGACGGCCAGATGAGGGGGAGGGTTACAACGTTCAGCGCGCTGAAAAGGACATGGTGCAGCTCGGCATAATTGGCTTTGTGTCAAACCATGAGCACAGCAAACACTGTAATGTTTAAGCATCGTTGGTGTTGACAACGAGACAGCATCAAAACAGCTCGTGCTAGCGGTCTTCAGCGGGTCGTCGCAAGATGATCAAGGTACACATTCAAGTATGAGCCCAGCGGTCGCACGCTGCCTCCACAAGATATCCGCTTGCCGCCGACCTTCAAGACAATTGAGGCCGGGACGTCTTACAGAGGGAGTGGATCTTTAGAAGCGTTCTGCCTGAGGCATGTCCAGACGGAGCCTTCGAGGGCATGAGCGGCGAGTCAAGGAAAAACCTGGCAAAGCAGCTCTACAAACGTCGCTCAACGCAGTTGGAACACACCCGAGCAGCTGTCCAACGTCATGTTTACGGTTGAATGCTGAGATAGTCTAAGGCTTCATGCTGGAGTGCTCAGGGATCCACGTTGGCTGATTTGAGTTCGCATATGTGCTGCGGCAGCCTAAGAACAGGCTTCCAACTGGCAGGCTTTGCAATCAGCTGCGGAAAAAGGAGTGATAGATCCGAGTCTCCACGGCGACGGCAGTTCCGGGCGAGAGAAGCCTGCTGCAAAAAGCCAGGAAGCCAAAGACGAGATGCAATCACGTGGAACAGCATTGAATCTGCAGGTGCGGCTGCCAAGGGCACTGCCACGGGTGTGCAGCTTACTTGCCGGTTCAGGCCTGCTTGATTCTGTCAGTTGCTGTGTGTTGATTCCGAGCAGATGTCGTAAATCAATCTTCGATTGCGTTTTCCAGAGTGCAGCCACTAGTTGAGCGGTGTCTTCATCTTCGTTTCGATGACAATCGGAACAGGAGTCAAATGTGGCGGGGAGTTTTAATACCTGCGATCCCAGGATGCGGACAGGTGGCTCGAACGTGAACAAACTTACCCACAATTCCGAAGTGCCACAGCTCTGCCTCGACACCTCCACATGACCGAAACGACATATATTCATCAATGCATGTGCGTTTTATGTCTTGCCTTGTTTTACTGAGGTTTCGGCGGGGCTGTCCGACGTCCCAAGACTGGCTTTGCATTTCAATGGTGAGCTTGACATGTGTTAGCTCTGGAGCTTTTTTACTTGAGGCCAGCAAAGGTTCCTCCGCCACAGCTATGCCAGAGCCACTGCCTGGGAGCCACGCTGTGACTTCAAGACTGCCTCATGGCCTCACGAACCGTCGAACCGCAGGTCGATACCGTCTCCAGCAGCCCTTGGCCCAGCTATGTGTTTCTTGCAGTCAGGGCGAGCTTTGTGTCAGTTCGCGGATGCTAGCTTGTAGGTGGCAACACCACCGCCAGCCGGACAGGACTTTGCTGGATGCGGCCAGGGTGCAGCCCCTGGTCCATGGTATTGGCCAGAGGAAGTGTCGCTGAGCATCTTGTCCGAGGTGTCTACTCTGGGTATCCGTGTGCGCAGCTTCTGCCTCGCTACAAGATAGAACTCGGTGCAGACATGACATTTGTGTTGTGTAATTGAGGCAGTTTTCCCTGCCGCACATACAAAGTTGCGGGCGTCCGAGGGCTGTTCATCATGGGTCTGTCGGAAGTGGTGGTGATGTCTGTATTCAAGGCATGGCGCAGCTGGGAATGGCCGGTATGATGGGTGGGCCAGGCATGTCGCTGGCTCAGTGGCGGATCTGCTCGCCGGAAGGCTTGCAAGTAAACTGTACAACATGAGACACGTGCAAAGTATGCCCCATCGAACACAAGAATGGAGCGAACGACGCGCATCCTGCAGACATGTCGTCTCGTCCATTCTAAGTTCTCGTTGCTGCATGTTCAAGAGGTGCGGTTATGGTGGCGCAGCGCAGTCGCCAGAGGGCTCCAGAGTTGAGGCGCCACGACCTCCAAACTCCAAAGCATAGCGCAGCAGTTTCTGGGCATCGAACAGGCCCTGGAGCGCTCGATCAAGGCGGAATGAGAAGACCAAGAGTAAAGAGTAGTGTGGCTATTGTCTGCGAGCAGGAAATGCAGGAGAAGCTCAAGGCCCCTCGGCCCCTCCCAACTTGTTAGTCCCGGCCCGCTGCGTTCTTTCGGAGGACTTGCGAGACTCCTTGGACACTGAGCGACAAGAGCGCTCCAAGGTGCCTTCAAATCCAATCTGTACAGTTTGTCTGGTTTGGGTGGGAGCCAGTTCGATCCAACAGAGTTGGCGAAAGAAGCTGTGAAACATCGACAAGTTTGCGTGGCATCTCGTGGAGGTGGAATTTCGACTCCAATGTGCTGAGAGGCGTTTGCAAGACGAGGAGATCCGGACAGAGCATCGCATGGAAGCCATTCCGGGGCCGTGTGTCCAAGGAGTCTCGAACTAATCGTGCTGAAGCCCGAGCTTGCATCCCAGAGCAGACTTGTTGTTAGGGTGCGGCCTGAGAGCATCAGACCGCATTACCTTCTTGTTCGTATGGGCTTGTTCAGGGACCAGGAGGGAGCTTCGCGACAAGTGCATTGGATTTCTCAGCCTTGGGGACACTGACACTGAGCCCACTTTCTGCAGTCCAGGCCCCATCCCAAGCAAAACCCATCTTCCCCAAAAGCAAAGTCTTTTCAAAATTGCCATCGCGTGCTCTTCGTGTCGCAGACGAACACACTTAACGAGTGTACTGTCTTTTATTGGCCAAGCAGCAGCAAAGTCCTCGGGTGGAGAGCTTGCTAGCACTCACACGTCGAAGGTTGATGTTTAGCTGCCGGAACGATGAACCATCCAACCTGCAGTGACAGAATGCGTACTGCAAGATCAAACCGCAGCGGGCGGATGGCTCCAGCTTGTCCTCGGCGAGCACAACAAACAGGGATGCTGAGCGTCGCAGGAAAATCTGTAAGCCGGTTCTGCCGAGAGCCCGACCCACCATGCGGAGTTGTGAATCGACGTCCTTGCTTATGCGTGGATCTATTCTGGAATTCGCAGAAGTTGCCATGCTGTCGTACCGTCGTATTTTAACAATCCAACTCGGAAGCAGTAGCTCCACGAGTAGAAAAGCAATGGCGAGTAGTGCGCTTGTTCGAATGCATCGGCACAAGGTTTCTCCAAGATTGGCATGATGTCCAGCCACGCAAGCTGAGGTGGCTGCAGTTGAAGCTGCAGCCATGAAGCAAGAGGCACTGGTAGAAGGAGTGATGTCACTTTGTCAGCCAGTCCTGATGATATGATCGCAAGATTCCCAGAATCTTTTTCTATATGTCAGAAGCTGATGTTATTTGGATTTCGCGTTGTGTCCAGGTGTTCACACTGGAGCAACGTGCCTTCCATAACAGTTTTCGCGTTGCTAGGACTCCGGCACCAACTGGACAGGCCGCTGCTTCAGACCGGATGGGTTTTTGACCGGGGCTTTGCATTCTACTTCTGTGACTCAGATCGCAGCCCACCGACGACACCAGGCGGTTGGTGCTTGTGACAGTGCTTGCATGCCCAGATGTACCGAAGCCACTCTGCTCTGCAGGCTCGTGAGTGCTTTGCAAAAGAACTTGGAGGAGCAGCAGCAGCCCCAGCGCTGCGCCTTCACTAGTTTCTGAATTCTCACATTTGGGGCTGTCGCGTATTTGTGTGCGTGATTGCAGGCGGCATACGAGTCGCAAGTCTTTTTGTGAGTTCCGGTCTCTGTAGTTGCTCTCTTGCTTTTTATGAACACATCACAGCTTGTGATAGCACGTCCAGCATAGCACCCATGAGTGTCTCTGATGCATGTGTAGGTTGCGTTTGTTCAGAAGACAAATTCATTCGTCATCTTGATTGTGCATGAAGCCGCTCATCAACACATCCTTGCAGCCCGTTGAAGCACCGCGTCACGACACTTCATTGCTTGCCTTATCGTGAATCTTGTTGGCTCACTCAAGGAAAAGTCGGGCATCAGTATTTTTTTCGCATTGTTGAGTGGCCATTGACAGAACTGGTGCCTGTACTGTGTGTGGTCATGGGTGCTCGAGTTCGGTGCATGTTCAAGGCTATGCCGTTTAGCGCAATGTGTGTCATTATCCTTGCTGTGGCTGTTCTGTTCATCATTGCACTTTTGGTTCTTTAGTGACTTTCTACTGCTCTTCAGACTGCTGGTGTCTATTATTTGTGCTGTGTCCATGATCCGCGATATCTGCACTCTCGCCACGGCCCGTGTTCGTTCAAGTCGCCCTGTTAGTGGATGATTTGGAATGTTGCAAAAAGCTGTGTTGGTGTTGCTGCTAGTAGTGCTGCTGGTGTTTAATCTCACCAGGTTTTGTGTGTTTTTCGCCACGCGACCCCGCTGCGGTCCGTCTGCAGGCTGCAAATCATTGTGCCTGGGTTCAGAGGTTGACTTAGGGAGTGGTTGGCCCCATGCTGCTGCAACCGCTCATAGGGAGCTTGCAGGGGCCACCTTGGCTGGACACCAGTGCCTGCAGGGGTTTGGTTTTCCACACGGTCGTAGGGTTTAGGTGAGGGCAGCGTCCAGCACGGTTGTGTTGGGCCTGTAAGGGCTCGCAAGAGCGTTGTCACTCGGCAAAGCATAGCAGCGCAAAACACACATGCTTTTAATCTGAGGCTGGGAAATGAGCGGGAATCGAGGTGTTTTTGTCTAGACATCGAGAAACCCAGTTTTGGATTCCGAAGATTTGAGGGCAAACCGGCAGATAACTATCAAAGGGCTTGCCTGCAGCCTTTGCTTGATCTTCTCAAGCATTCTGAAGTCGACCCGCAGTGGCTGGGCTTACCTAGTGCTAGGCAGTTTCTTGACACCACCCCACCCAATGTGAACAGAACTCGAAGCATAGGCTGTGCTGCATAGCTCTCTACCGGAGTTGCTTGTTTGTACGACGAACGTTTTCACAATTCACATCTTTACAAGTCCTTGAGGTCACGACGGGGTTGTTTGCCACAGTTGTGCTTCCGGCGAGCGTACGGCACGGTGTATGTCTAGACAGGCGGCGATGTTCCGGAAGCATGCCCTGCCTCCAAGCAACATCTGCCGTGCGGATGATTCGTTGATTCAGGACAATATGATGCAAGGACGGCCGGTGGTAGGCATGTCCATGGAGTGTCACACTGTGTGTCCAAGTTCTGCGTCGGGTCTGGGCGTTGGCAGAATGTTGCTTACATGTCGTCGCTGTCTAGTATGGTGCTTATCGAGTCAAGCAGAATCGCCGCTGCATCCCCGCACACCACCGCTTGCTCTGTCGGTTCGGCATGGCTACATCAGAATCAGTTGACGACCAACCAGGTTGGCACCACTTCGCCGAGGGCTGGAGCAGGCCAGTCATTTGTACGAGATTACGATCCAGCGGCAACGACGGTTCTGAGGTCTCGTGTCCTTCGATTCGGCCCCTGTTTTTATGCTAGACTCAATGACTATGTTATTTGTGCTTGTGCTGTTGGGACTTGTCTCGTTGTCTTGTCCTTGTCTGACCCGGTGTGATGACCCAGCACGGCTCGGACACTTGGGTGCCACAGGATACGAGGAACCTAGATATGGTAGGAGCAGAAGGTAAAGCAGAAGTAGTAGAAGTAGGGAAGCAGGAAATCGCAAGAAGCAAACAGCAAGTAGGGTAGGAAGTGGGAAGTGTGAATTTCAGTCTTGTTGTGCCTTAGCAATTGGTGTTCACTGCTCTCTGTGTGCGCTGCCATCAGCGGATCCCTTGAGTCTTAGTACCTTTTAGCTGTGAGTGCCGTCCAGCAAAACATGTGCGTTTGAGCGTCTGCAGAGTGAAGCGCTTTCTGCATCGAAGCACTGTTGCCACTAGTTGGCAGCGGAGCCCATCGATCCAGGGTGCGCGCTCCTGCTTTGGTGGCACAATGGCCTTTCAGCCAAACCTGCAGCCACCTCCTCAGGACAACGCGGTTCCAGATCTCCTTGAATTTCTCGATGGCAATGGGCCGACGAACGCATCAAGGACAGAGCCTGGAACAACAGCCGAAGAGCCAGCTGAGGCGAGGCCGTGGATGATATCTGGCCGGCCTTCTCCCACGGGCCTTCCAGCTGACGATCTTCGAGGCCAAGACCCTTCCGGGGCTTGGGTTCCACCGTTCCTTAATCTTCCGGCAAGAGGGCAACGGGCAACCTACCACGACTTCTCTACTTGGGTTTGCAGCGTTTGCCGCAGTTCAGATTGCCGATGGGACCGCATGACTGATAGCTGGTTCTGTGCGAGGTGTGGTTCGAACGACTTGTACGATGCCGAACACATGCAACAGGTTCCCCGTCATCGAGCTCACCAAGGTCTTCGGCGGCTTCTTCGACTTCTACATGGTCAAGGCCAGCGCGTGCACAAGGCCCTCGCCGAGCACATTGGCACGGCCCTCCACCAGACGACTTCGACGCGGGAGAGAGAGCCGAGAGCG